GGCAGTACCAGCTGGTACTCCTCAGGGCTGCATTTCTGCAATCGCTCACTCTGAACGAGGGAAAGGACTTTCACTTACCCCGTGAAGTCCCTTGATGGACCAGCTCCATCGGGACTGGACTCCCATTGGGCCCCTCTCTGCTTCTTACTGTAGCACATTGTCAGCCTGTGGGACTGAGAGCCGTGGAGACCTTCTCTCATTAGCAGATCAAAGACTACTGGGCAGAGATAAGGCACATTTTTGCCCAATTTTGTCTCACATACAGGCATCTTCCACTGCCAGAGATAAAGGTCTCAAAGAGTCACATAAACTCTGTTTCCCATCTGCTGCAGCCACAAGGCTTCGTGGCAGTGACAGACCTCCCTAGATCCACATCTAGGAGGCATTTATGAGCACGTCTGCACTCCCCCTTCCCTCAGGGCTACATTTCAGCTGCTGGGGCTGGTTCTGCAGCATCACAGGATTTACTGAGCTACTTAGGGTGAAACTGGTTTCACAGTACAGTACTGGGGAGAAATGTGAAGGAGCAGATAAATTATCTTCAACACAGAGGTAACCTTTCTCTTTTTCTTCCCTTCTTTTTTTTTCTAAAGGTACTTGGCCTACAACAATCGGCAAGCAGCTTTAAGATTGCCCAGAAAGCCACCTCTGCTGACTAGCTCATAATTTGCAGATTCCAGCAGCATCCAGACTGGGTTCGAAACCCGTTTGTGAGTTTTCAGGCCTCTTGCAGCCCCACTCATTTCTAGCTGCTTCCTTCCCTGCAAGTGTCAGCCTACACTGAGCCTCCAGAACCTACCAGAACCTCCTTACACTCTTCACTTCTTACACCCACTTCCTTGCTACTGTTAACGTTTTTCTCAGCCCATGTCAGTGGCTTGCGGACCAACTCCAAGAAGCTCTGCAAACCAGGATATAGTTCAGCACACGCACAGTATAGTTAGCATAGATAACTATTGCTGAGTAGAAAGTTGTACTCAGAGAGTATGTAGGGACTTAAGTGGCTCCAGCTGGCTGCTGATAAAAAAAATTACATTTAAGATGGTAAACATAGATCATGATGCAAGACCACTTCCAACACTACCATGCTTGAGCAGTTGCAGAAGAGACCTGCAGTCATGAAGAGATGCGAAAATGTCACACCAGTAACAGCTCTAAAATAGGTTGGGAAGGGAGGAGGTGGTGGTCCACATAACTGAACAACAGTGGCAAAATGAAGCATCTCAACAAAGAAAACTGTCAGCCTGCAGCTGAGAACTGCAACAGCCAGAGCAGCAATACAGTTCATCTGCAGAGCTGCTCCACATCTTAACAGTTCATCAAGATAGCATACTGGATAAAGAATTCTCATCGAGTAAGATTCACAACACCAAGCTCCATAAAGTAAATGTTAGAAAACACATTTATGTAATGACTGAGAGTTCAACTGGGATACATTTATAAAATGGAGGTTATTTTACAAAGCCCTTTGATGACTTTCACCATCACTGTGACAACCAACTACCTTAAGAACCCCCTGTGCAATAAATGAAGGTGCTGATTACCAGGTAACATGCAGACACTAGTGCTGTCACTTTAAGGGTTTGCTAAGCTTTCCCAACATCTAAAACTACATCTCCTCTTCCATATCTTGGACAATCAGGCCAAGTTCTACTAAGACTTTCTTTTTTTTAATTAAGATTATAAACCTAGATAAAACTTGAATATATTACCCGACATACCAATTTCAACAGTCTTAGGTGGCCACCTCCCAGGAATTAAAGTAAATACTTAACTCCTGTCAGCCCTTCATAAGGGCTGGCTTAAAGATACACTCTTGAATGTGTAAATATGTATTGTGACAGTTGATTTAATAGACTTATTTCTCTCTCTCCATTAAGATTCTCCTAGATAGCATGTAACTGAGCATTAAATAATCCTCAGCGCTTCCATACCCAAAAAATACTCCCTAAGACAAAAGATTTATGTGAAATTTAGCCTGTTGTTCAAGTACTTTGCATTGGCCCCAGATCCACTGAAATCAGACTCCTTCCCTTTTCACCTGCTCTCCATCAAAAACCCCATGGTGATAGCCTAACAGTCAGGAAAATCTACAGTCCCCCAAAGAACTGTTAGTCTTGCAGACAAAACCAGCTTGGGAAACTTTTTTTCTTGTTCCTCATCAGCCCAGTCGTGTTCACCTACCGAAAACAGAGGGAATCTGCTCTTGATTTTGCAAGCTTTGTATGATTAGTTGCAAGAGACATGCTGGCAAGTAATATTTAGAACTGGAACTGCAGCTACTTAAAACGTGTTCAGAAGAGCCAATGTAAAGTGTTGATAATCACCAGCTTGATCAACTGCAGATCATGTTCCTACTTCTGTAATACACAACTTTAAAAAATAGATACCACACACCTCTTGACACCAATAGATTTTGTAACACTGTTCAGAAATTTAAGTCGGAATTGTTGCCAAAACATTACCCCAATAATAGCCGACCATTTCAGAATCTAGTGATAATTTTATTTTAAAAAGTCTTTATAACTCATTAAGGTCGGTACCAAACTTGGTACTGGTACCAATGGTTTGCCAAAGCTGGATTGTCCCATTATCTCTCTGAAGAAAAAGCAACAGCAGATAAGTACACCTTTCAGGATGCTGAGTCAAGGAGATTTAAACAGCTACACTCAATATTTGGCTGTAAGACAAATTGAGCAAAACTGTCCTTAGTGTACAGAAAGTTATATTAATCTTTCATGGTAGGTTTTCTTTATTACCAGTATTGAAAATAAGTCATGAACATAAAGCAGCAAGAGAAAAAGCTGGACTAACTGCTATTATTTTCCCCCAGTCTTTCCACTTCCCTTTCTTCCAAGTTCTCCGTGGATACAAGGACCAAAGCCTATGCCGTGTGAGAATGTAAATCAAATCATACATTTTAAATGGATTTGAATTTATGTACAGCAGTTATCGTTCATGAATTTTACAGTCCCTGCAACTACATTCTTTGTAAGTCTTCACTTTTCTCTACTGAATCTTCTGACGGAGCAACAAAAAGGAGGGGTAGAAGCAAATAGTAAGGAATGATCACAGTCAGTAAAAATTTTGGGAATTTGAGTAGCAAACCTCGGAGAGTCTTCCATGAAGTTCCAGAAATAATCGGTGGCAACATGTATATATTGCAATTTTATTTCATTCGCTCAAACAAAACGTTAGCATGTAAGAAATTTTAAATGACACAATATGATAAAAATAGCAGAGAATGAACTGAGAAACTAAAAAGAAGGTAAACCTAAATGCATGAAAAGTCAACATTCATTAGTGATCATCTTCAGTCTTTGATTGACACTTGATGGTCGATAACTTTTTCAAAACAATGAACTGGAAATCATTATGACTATCTGAAGAGATTTCAGCACCAGCACTAAGATTTTTACATTCAGTTGGTTTGCAGTTGACTTGGTAGCCACTTGTCTATAGTACAGGTTTGTCACAGGTCAGATCACAGTGTTGAGGAAAGCAACGCCTCCCTGGCATTAGAAAGGATCCCTTAAACTGCCCTCAGCTTAAGACATCCATTGTACAAAAGCACAGAACCACCACAATATGGTTTTTTTTTTTTTTAAGAACTTCGTTACCAGTAAGCAAAATAATCTTAGCTTCTGCAGTTCATTTTCAATACTGAAATCTCTGGAAACGGTGCAACTGTCAGTAGGACAGGAAATGTCTACAGTAATCTTTAATTCAATCCGATTTTCTGGAAAGAACCAATTCCACAGTTTGGGATTACAGAAAGTATGTATGTAGAAGCAGCACAAAAGACGACATCTGTTCCTTTTTCTTTTAAACAGAAATCATGTTAATTGTAGACCAAGGCACAAAACGTTTAGTGCATAAGCCAGTTCCTTGCACAATCTAGTAGTTCAGCCTTTAATTTTGGACCACTTATACCCATTCACACTATTCCACTATGCTACTCCTGAACTCTCCTAGAAACAAATCAAGTATGATTTCTGACAAGGGTAAACTTCCTTAATGCTCAAAAAGTCCATGTAAAACAAAAAGTTACATCAACAAAGATGAAAATGCCTCCTCTTGTTTTGAGAAAAACAGTACTTCACAAGCTTACTACGGATTTTTTTTAATGCCTTCAATAAATGCATGCAGAAAAATGTTTTTGTTTTTCTTTTTAAAAAATTGATTAATAAATTGTAGTCTTCCCTTAGAATTTGAACCTATAGAAACAGGAGATGTTTGATTTGGAGAAAAATTTCCCATTGAAGCCTTTTCAAAGCTGTAAGTGCTGTTTTGCTTTGGTGTTCAGCACTTCAGACAGCATGTTATTGAAAGCATTTGTCCTATGAATGGAGCTGCATATACTTTTAAGCTGAAACATTAATCTCCAAAACTTGTAAGTAAACTTTTCTTTCGGATCAGCACAGATCCCAAAGCAAACGTGGCACTGTGATGGCTCAGAAAAATTGACAGTGCAAAGGAAAAGGGAAGATTTTGATCCATATTCTTTCTCCAAAGCACTACAGATCCAATTCACAGAATTTCTATTCCACTGAACTATACCACATTTAAAAAAAATAAAAATAAAAAAACTTTACAAGCATAAAATCTGAAAACCCTGGGAAACAGAAAAGTATTAATTCCCCTAAAAATGATTCTCAAATTGTTGACCAAAACCAATGGCATACCATTGCTGTTTGTCAGGGTTTGGGTTGCGTGGAGCTGTGGGGTTTTTTTGTTGGTTTTGAGTTTTGTGGAAGGAGGGTGGCAGATAAATTAGGAGGAGAAGGGGATGTTTACTGTGACCTGATGCTCTGTCACTCTAAAGGTAACTAAATGCTGTTCTGTTTCATTAAACAATCAAAAAGGAGTCTCAGAAAAGAACGAAGCAGAGGGTCATGGTAAAAAGGTAAAGGACAACGCACTTACACAGGTGCATCCTCAGTAATTCAGATGCTTACATGTTTGTTCTCTCACCGAGAAATGAGTTAGGTTCACATGGGAGTTTCAGAACCATTATGGAAGTATTACAGAATTTCAAATAGAAAACTGAAAAAAAGATACAAAAGCATTAAGTACCTGGTTCCATTAACATGGTTACTGATAAAAGTCACGTTTTCCTCATTATTACACATGCATGTAAGATGAAGAAAAAGTGCAGAAAGTAATAAAAACGTGTCACCTTCCCCCTCCCTCATCCCGCATCTTTCTGGGCATAAATTAAGCCTTACAAATGAAAAGGCTACTCTGTGACATGCAATTTTTCTTTTAATTAAAAAGCTGGCTGTGTTGTGTTACATTACAAAAATGTCCACATGCATAAATCTAAAAAAAGCCCCAAAATCTACTGTAAATCTACAACATACTAATGATTTACATTTGACTGCTGATTCGCATTATGTAGAAGTCTTAGATTTGGTAAAGCATTGTAACAATGTAGGAAGGCATCTACATCTTTAAACTCTGGACTGCATTTGCTTTTTTTTATTTTCCTATAAAATTGCATGAAGGCTAACTAGAGAGGCTTCCTATCATAAAATTCCAAAATCTTGATATGTCATCACTGTCTAGGTCATTCACTTACAAATACTGCCCATTAAAAGCGCGCGTTTTTAGTTGTTCCATGTTTTGTGAACTGAACTTCTACACATCTGATCTTTTAAATTACTCATGGAAACATCAGATATGATAGGAAGACAAACCTGAGATACATTTGAAGTACAACAGTATAACTTGCTAACTCCTTCATTAATAAAGAAAACCTCTCTGAAAAGCCTTCCCAACCTTTTCCCTGTTTTTCGTCTTAACAACAAATTCTGAAACATGTGCAATTTTATCTTGACATGAGTAGACTTCAAAGCACTGTGATCTTGTCTGATAGGTGTAGGAATTTCTGCATAATCATTACAGTAACTTTAAGAGTCTCTTCCACCCTGCTGTAAAGGTCAGAAAGAAGCTGCAAACTAGGAGGGGAATAGCATATCACCAGAGTGATGTGTCTGAATCTTTTCAGAATAGGTTGTTTCTCCCTCCTTCCAAGTGTCTGTCTCCATTTTCTTCTAACAGCTCACAAAACGTAGTCAGTTTTATACCAAGTTAAAGAGTCACATCGGCTTAGTACTAGTCTTTCTATGCAGTATTTGACTTGCTGAGTTCCTGCCTGATAGCTAGAGAGAAAGAGAGAGAAAAATTAACAAATCAAATAGTCAAAGTCAAGGCAGAAAGCCAGAATACACAACTGACACAAAGAAGGCTCAGCCTGCTCCAAATGTCTTTAGAACATGAATAACCTATACATAAGATAGCTTCATGTGGCTTCAGACAAGTGGCATTCTCAACCGGAGAGTACCCTTTTTTTCCTACTGTAAAATTTTTGTTAGCGTCTTATTTTTACATTCTGCATCTCCAGCAAGTCTATGACCTTACCTGATGGGATTATCAAGATGCATGTGTGGGCTCATTTATTTTAATTTTTGTTTGTTTGTTTTAAGAGCAGCATCAGTGCCCTCCCTTGTTTGCATTATACAATTCTAAAAGGCTGCAGTACACAACACAGTCAAAACATAGGGAGAAGCACTATGTTCTCTGTAGCCCAAAACCAGCCAGCTCTTTCTACGACATCAGTAGATGATGTGATATTTTACCAGCAGTGGTATCAGTTTAATATGACTTTTTGGTTGGTTGGGTTCTTTTGTTCCATACTTTATGTTGGTACTTTCCACAAAGCAAAAAAATGCACACCAAAGCAGTAAAACAGTTTTATTTTCTTCTTGACTGGTAGACCTTTAAGATTATTCTCTCTCAATAATTTCCCTTAATTACAGAAGACTACATAGGAAATTATCTCTGTTAAAATAAAAGTGAAAATTGTGAGAATTCTTTTCTTTCATTCTTATGTCACAGACCAAAGAGGAAAAGACCGAAAGCACAATCCTAGTCTGAATATTACTGGGTTTGAATTATGCACCTCAGAAGCATTATTTAAAAATAACCTACCTACCAACACATGATAGAAAGATAACTGCGAGTCACTCAAATGCAGCATCCCTCCAACCACTTTTAAAAGACACTATTTGGTGTCAATGTGCTATTAAAAACAAAAAAAGCACAGGAAAGAAAACATAACAAGCACATCAATCAGAACAGGTCTGGCACAAATGACACTATGCCACCAGACTAATAACAAAGCTACTTTTACCAATATATCATTCTGAGGCTAGAATACATTGCTGTGCACTTGTAGCTACTTACTCTAAGACCGAACAGCAGCAGATTGATACCTACCATCAATGAGTTCTTCCTTTAGTTTCGTTAACTCCTTCCTCATTTCATCTAAAATGTCCTATGGTGTCAGAGCATAAATAATAGATTAGTTTTGCAACATGAACAGATTAGTTTTGCACCTGTAATTTTCTGCAGAGAGAAACTCAAAATTCTTCCAACCTTTAACCCTTCTGAAATGCATAACCCAGCCTTTATCTTCCAACTCAATCCCCCAAACCTAAAGCATCCCCAAAACATTCTTACTGCACGTACAATGAAGAAAAAACCTTCTGCAGAAGTCCTACAAATTGATTCCTGTAGAACTTATGAGAGGAGAAGGGACATACTAAAGTTAGGAATGCAAAAAGATACCTAACTAAAAACTACAAGTCAAGGAAATACTCAAAGAAAAAAAAAAGTTATCAAGTTATCAAGGTATTCCCAGTCGCCAAGTAGAATGTGAAGGAATGAAGGTGACGGAGTGAAGCGCTGTCCCCCGCTTGCTGTTTTCTCCATCTTTTCGTCTAAGTAATGTTAACTGGTGATTTGGTGACAATGTTTTTACAAGCAGAGCGGGGGGTAGTGTCTGTTTCTGCAGAG